TGTTTAGAAGATCTGCTTACAGATAGATCTGGATTTTTTTTGTACAAGGTACTCTGTTATGTACTTCCCCAGGACTCGGGAAGTCCCTGCAGCACAGGATGGTTATGATGAGGAGAGATGATGCATTAGCTGATTATGGGATAGATATAATCACCAATGCCCTGGAACACTGCTGTGGATGCTCATTAGTCTGCCTTKAACAGGTTGACACGAATCACCTTGTAGTAGCTGCATCTGAACTTCCAAAACTATTGTTGTATCTGTAGCAGCCTCATGTTCCAATAAATATCTTGAACTACCAACTTAAAGAACAGCATTTGAAATGTGTGTGAAGTMATTCCTGCTTTGCTAATTGCACATTGCGTTGAAACAGACAGTTCAACTCAAGTTAACGCCTCAATGTTTTGGAGGGAGCAAAAGCTACAATATAGCCCATAATGCCAGGACTTTCTGCTTTACTGTCAGAATCACCTATACCTTGCCTGTCTGCTCTGAGTGCTCGGTTCATATCAGTCTTTTCCACAGGAAATTACTCATGCCCTGAAACACAGATTTCCTTTCCCCCAGCCTTTGTAAAATTGTTTAAAGTGAGTACCTCTGCAGCCACAGAAACAATGAGATAAGAGGGGCTCTGTCAAAGAAAAAAGCTCACCGTTGTTGCTACTGTTACTGYGACCCAAACASACAGGCTGCAGCTTTCTCAGGAGTGAAGGCAGCTGCTAAAAGTCACCAAGGAATGAAGTGTCCTTGGCCTTAAACTGTCAGGACAGTTTACTCTTTATGAGAGTATTTCCTGTTAATTTGCATCATGCTTCATATCCGCGGCTAGGTGAGGTAACCTGTTTGGAAARAAATACTATTAGCATAATCACTGTTTTATTAAAGCAACACTGTTGTCATTTACAGACAAATGAAAGATGAGATCTTTCTTGCATCAAAGAAATCAACATCTTCCTGTGTGTGGGTGCCACAACCCACACAACTGTAATATTTTGAAGGACTAAAGTCTAAATAAGATACTTYGCTCAGGAAGAAGATGACATGGGTTTGAAGCACGCAGTAATGCGATTAGCACATGACAATGCATCAGCATTCTGCCTTTCTCGATACGATTCCTTCTCCAGTCTTCATTGCTGCAGTGAGTTGAGGTGGGTGGGTTACAGTTTAAAGGCTTTATGGAACAAAATGTGTTATAAACAAGGTTTAAGCTGATACAGCTGCATGAGACTGCAGCTCAGAGGGCATTAACTCATCAATGACTGTATTTTCCAAGTAACTGGGAAATTACTGTAACGCATCTTTGTGTTCTTCCTCACAAGTTTATGTGTTCAAAAACATGGTAGAGTTTTGACTTTGGAAAAGCATTATCTTTATAAACTATTAATGCAAACTAAGACGTATAAATTATATAAATAATGCTGGTTTGTCTAGTTTTTTAAATTTCCAAAATGTATTTGAGAAAAAGACAAGAACTACACTTTTCAGTTTTAAGTCTCACAACAGGATTTATTAGTGCCATCTACTGGCTATTCACTCCTTTTAAATTTCAACAAACTATGAATAATGTGTTYGAAATGCAGAATAATAAGAACATTATGATCCTCCTAACTGAATCAGCCAACATCAAACTATGTAACTGGCAAATGTGTAACATTTAAATTACATTAAGTCAAACTTTGGTACAATGTTCCAACAGAGCAATCCAATTCTGAAGCTTTCAGATGTGCCAAGAGGAAAAAGCTCTAACCAGTGTGCAAGTGCTTGACTGTGGAGTCCAAGCACTACCACTGCACACATCCTCCTGGTGTGTCAGAGGAAGGCTTCTCCTGACAACTGCCAACCACTTGAGATCCCTCCTCCCTAAAGCATAAGCATGTGGGGCAACATGTTCATGCAGCAGGTAAACAYGGTCACATTGCTGTTTGCCTTTTCCGGAGGGGTGTCCCCACAAAAAAAATTTGATGGAGAAAATGGTGCTTTAGTTCATAGCCTGGGCAAGTTGTGAATGTTTCTGCTGAGGGCGGGTTTAAGCAAGCTGGGTGAAACATGTGCATGAATGGGACAACACASAGCCTATTCCACCACATCCATTACGAAGATGGTAGGAGCAAGCAGAGCTTGGGAGGGACCTGCTGTGTGCTACTGCTGAATCCCCTTCTGCTAAATTTGTTGAAAGGCATCTGAAGATGACCTAGGATTTAAATAAGGCTTTAAATCCCTTATACTCTTCACAGTAAAAATTGTTAAACTATAATTGTTTGAGGCAGTGCCAGGGAAAGATCAGCAAATCAATATTAACTGGAAAGTTAACAATATCTCCAGTGCTAGGTGAACAAAGTATTTACACATCCAAGTAGCTGTATCTCTAAATCAGCAACATATCTGAGCACATGATTAAAATCCTTAATCATACTTAAAGGTGTTTTGCTAGATACCAGTGAGAGTGCTCACATTTCCCACTCTGGTTAGTCAAGACCTTAATAGAGCCAGAAACAAATATATTCAGATCACAGCTCTGAGAACTAACCTCTGGAATAACTTGCTTAGCAACTAGGTTGTGAGCAAAGAAAGTATACTAGTAGTGTGATTGAAGAAAGGGTTCATGCTTCCTGTTCTCTGCCTTTTCCTGTCTTCTAATAAAAACTTGAGAGTCTTTAGGGAAGGAAATGAATGTTACTTGGCCATATCGGGTTTTCAGAGATTTACACACAAAAATGCATTCTGATGGAACAAACAAATTCATCACTTTATATAATACCATATTTGTACATTATGGTACTAGTAGAGCTTACTGCTAAAACTGCAAAACTCCTCCCAATACCCTATTTTCAGATGCTTGCTACTTTGACAAATTTCTGTGGTTTGGCTGAAATTTTCCCACCTTGGATCTTTGGTTTTTCAGCAAAATTTACACACTAAGTTAAAATCATTAAAGTCATTAAAATCATGCAAGATGTGCTGGTTTTTCCATATTAAAATTGTAACAGAAGCTTGTCTGAGAATTTGTCAACCCTATATGCTGGGAAGCAGAGACTTTTTCCTTGGTATAGATGGTCTTAGATGGTTGTCCTGCCATTTCCATGAAATGCCTATAGACTTAGTCAATGGAACTAGAAAGGAAAGGGAGCTCATTAGAAATCTGGTGGAGTGTGAATCTGCACTGAACACATTTAGTCCTTGCAAGGTTTCAGTGTGCCTGATGGTGTTCCCAGAGCTGAGAGCGACTATGCAACCYCATCAAGGGCTGAGCAAGAACTTCCAAGATCTTCTGCAGAAATGGAGTGGAGAAATTGTCCCATGCATGCTCCTGGGGCTCTCACTGCCAGACCCCTAAAGTATGCGGCCTCTCAGAGMTCATTAAAAGAAAAATGTAATATTTCTAGGATGGGAAGAGCTACTGAGAGAGAGTAGGACAGAAGCCAGATGGAAGATGAGAAATAGAGCAGTGACAAAGGATAATGTAGGTGAGCATTCTCATATGGAGTAGAGTACATTAACTTCCACAACCTGCAAATAACATTTAATTTAACATCATTTGCTTGTTTGTACAGCAAATTTAATTCCAGCTATCRAGTTACTCCATGTACTCAAGTAGCAGAGCTATGTGGATATGCAGCAGGTAGGTATAATCCTCCTCATGATTCACAGAGGTGCTAACATGGTTTGGTGCAAGGGAATCTGGAGTAGTTTTGTGTTTCTGTAGAGTGACATGGGCAATGACACACAAAATATCCACATTAAGAGAATGCTTCTAGATGCTTATTGTCTTCTGAAAAACCATGTGCATGTTCACACTCTCCATCGTCCATGGATGGATTCTCTGGATAAATGTGCCAGACTGCACAGACTATCTCGGGCCTCATTAGGAGAGAGGCAGYGCTGCCTGAACATCATAAAACYATTCCTAAATCTGGTTTGCATGTCTMGGCATCTGGTGTTTCCTGTTCCAGTCCTGGAGCTTGGGAGAAACTTGCAYAGCTGAACAGCAGCCTGATGAGACCTTGGGTGGCTCCATGCTGAGAAATTTGTCACCTCTGCTTAGTAACCTTCAGCATTTCTAYAGTTAGGACCCATTAACTCAGGCCTAAGTTTGTGAACATGGTTGAGCGCTACTGGCCAGTACTTGTCCGGTGTGTGTGGTCTCAGCCAGCAGCAGGTGTGGGAGCAGCAGGAGMACAGTGCGCACATCCTCGAGCAGGGTGTCTGGAAGACAGCAGCAGTTTGAGCACCAAAGTCACCACAATGCTCCTCCTTCGCTTGAACAAYCATTTCTCTTTGTTCTCACCACAGCGTCCCTTTCCTCAGTAAATACTTCAGATTACTTCCCTTTCCTTCATTGGATTCAGTCACTAAGCATCGACTTTAACACCAATCTCTTCCTCAGTTGTAGCCTCATCTAACCGATGTCCGCACCCCCGTCTCCTGAGGATTCAGGCCTTTTGCAGGACGGTGGCAGCACGGGTGGCAGTAAAAGTGGCGGTGAAGGCAGCAGCCAGGGTAGCAGCGAGGGTGACAGTGAAGGCAGCAGCCAGGGTAGCAGCGAGGGTGACAGTGAAGGCAGCAGCCAGGGTGGCAGTGAAGGTGGCAGTAATGTTGGCAGCGTGGGGCCGGTCGCCTTTTGCCGCGGAGCCCTCCCGTCGGGCAGAGGCCAAGGCGCGATCGGGAACAATCCTCGATATCGCTTCCAGCGAGGGGACACGTTCATGTCCAGACACTTGAATGTCTGTAAATTGCCTTCACTATTTATACAGTGCATTACAGAGATGTTCACGARAACCCCAGTGCCGAGTCTGTTTGAAGGGATTTTCACGCCGTTTGTGTCCATGTTACAGTCCCGGGCCCTTCTCAACCGGGGCTCCCGGTGCGCTGGAGCAATTCGGGCCGCCCGAGCCCGCGGCAGCACAGGCCGTGTCGCTGCTCGCCGCAGCCCCGGCAGCCCCAGCAGGGGCCCCGCCCGCCGCCACCGGCCCCCGGCCCCGCCGGGAAGGTGCGGCCGCCCCGCCCCGCCCGCCAGACGCCACATCCTGCAGGTGCCGCGGGGCGGCCATCGCGGAGGGGCCGCTGCCGGTGAGTGCGGCGGTAGCGGGTCGGGCCCCGTCCCGTCTCGCCACGGCGAGCAGCGACTCCAACCCGGAGCGTTGCCGCGGGGGGGGCGCCGGAAGGCGGGTCCCGGTGAGGGGGCGGTGGGGGCGCGGCCCGGGCGTGGCGGGGATGCGGCGCCGGGACCGCGCCCGGCGAGCCCGGCTCCTGGGCCGACTGCACTGCCGGGCCCGCGGGCGCCGCTTCCCAGGGCGGGGCTGGGAACGGGGCGTTGGGAACGGCGGTGGCTCCAGGGCCCCGGCGGGGTGTGTGGGGCCGGAGAGGGGCCGCGGGGGGCACCCGGCCCGGCAGGAGCTGCCCTCTTGTCTGCRGGCCGGCGGGGAGGCCGAGCTCGGCCTGCGGACGGGTGGTCGCGGTCGGGTTGTTTCTGCTGCTCACTTTTCTGTCCCGTCTCTGCACGTACAGGCGCGAAGAAAAGAGTGTTAGTAACACCGCGCTCAGCCAAGATGGGGCAATACCTAAAGCAGCTGTGAGGAGTSTGATCGTGTGCCTTACTGCCTTGCGCTGGAGTCAGCAGAGGAAGATGTGTGTTTTTATCMTTGGGCAACGCCGATCTAACTACTGAACAGAGCGATGTGCTGAAGTTGGAGATCCTGACAAAATGGGAGCACTTGTGTTCTCTGCGATTTGCAGTTTACTTCTAGCTCTGGTGCAGGGRCACAGCTTATTCACGTGTGAGCCAATTACTATTTCCAGATGTTCAGGAATGCCTTACAATATGACTTTTTTTCCAAACATCATGGGACACTATGATCAGGACACGGCTGCTCGCAAAATGGACGTAAGTTCTTCCCACCCCACTGTAGTATATAATAAATTTGTCATTAAGAAATTATTGGGGATACCTGTTGCACTGAATGAMAAGGCAATGTTTAGTGAGTAGATGTTTTTTTCAGAGTGTTCTAGAGCTCCTTGGTTGTATCAGCACTAGGAAGGGACCTACTGACTTCCTYTCTCCACCCTGCCTTGGATCCTGTGTTAGAGTGGAAGAGGAAGGTATAACAAAGCAATGTGGTTATTCAGACCATTTTGGCAGAGCTGATCGCATATAACTTGGGCACCTTACTGTTAAACAGAGCAATTGTTGAAATTCTYAGGGGAAATAGTTTATGATATCCTGGCCTGCCTGAACTCAGTGCAAAAATCATATTTAGAAGATGCTCTTTGGTCTTCGCTCAGCTTRCATCTACTAAGGAGAAGCACCTGAAGTTATTCTTATCCCTGTTCTCCAYTGTGGCTTTTACATTCTGTTGTCTTCTGACTGGATGCTGCAACTTCTGTTTGAAAGAGCAACTTTACTCTTTTAAGCCGAAAAGAAGCACTTTTCTTACCTGAACTGACTCTTAAGTGTGGCTCCCTTGAGAATATGCCACGTTGTGGAAAGGCTTTGCCTGTAGCAATACCTGTAAAGGGCGAAAGCTTCTCTGGGTGAGAGGCTTGTAAAACAAGTTTTAAACCTGTTTTAATAATACCTTTTCAGTGGTAAGAGGAGGGGGAAAATCTTAACACAGGTCTTGGAAAGCTCTTCTACTATGCAGAGGGTGAAGCAGAAGTGAGGTGAATATTGAGTTTCTGTTTTTTAAAAAAAAATTATATGTGGTGTTGGAGGTAGTGCTACTGAAATCTTATTTGCATACTCTTTACTGAGCTTGGAGGAGGAGCATGGTTCAGTTGCTAAAACACGTTTTCAGTGTTGCTTGGGACAATCACGATTCCCTGTTTGGCCACCAGCTGTCAGCCTGGAATGGCACAGGCTTTGGTCTCACATTGTTTTTGTCAGCCTGGTAATTCTGGTATCGAATGTTAAGCCGCCTGTGTTCGAGCAACTGAATTCAGCTGCAAATCTCTTAAAAACTGAGACCTTTTAAGTGGGAAGGCAGGCTGCAGGCTTCATTAGTGAGCTGTGCAGTGCCTTCTCTAGTCGTCATTTGTCAGGAATGCTTCCTGCAGTGTCTGCCACTTTATCTCCTCAGCTATGCTGCTGCTTCTTACCTGGTGTGTCTTAACTGCAGCCGTTGAGCCAGCACTTGTCAGAATTTGTGCCTCCCAGTCATGCTGCTGTTAGGGCAGAGAGACCACAGAGTCATTTTTATTAGGTTGCCATGACTGACTTTTCTCAGCTGTCGGTGACTTGTGTGTAGTGCAGGCATGGAGGGAGTTCCCTCTGGAAAGGATTCATGGCTTACTTTATATATATATATATATCTACACATATGTACTATATATAACTGTTTCATAAAAAATTGTGTGGTAGTGAGAAGTTTTGTTGTTTTCTCTCTTTTTCCATCCTGTCACCCTTATAACCACCTCTGACTATTGCAGTGATTGATCACTACTCAGCCAACTGGCTGGGTAGCTATGGGGAACAASAGTATCTATTAGGATTTGATTTCCCTACCCTCTTTGATTTGCTTCCTAGTCTTCTGTATTGCCACTCCCTGGCCTCTAATTTGGTATTCCTCAATGCTGTGGTGCTGTGCAGACATTTCTGAGCTGCCTCTTGTGTGGTGGTCTGCYTGCCTTTATTTGTGGTCCAGCAGTGATGATGGATTGCTTGGTCAAAGTGAMTTTTTAAGACAGCTGCATTAGAGGWGAAAGGGAGTTTKCTCTCGTTCCATTTGAAGCTYGTGTTGAATTTGCTGCTAGTGGTTAGATTCAGAATTAATGTGGTAAAAGCTTACAGTGGTTCATTGCTGGGYCTTCTTTYTGAGAGGGACCAGTGTGTTCCAATGTCACTTATACATTTTGATGTCATTTTGCATGTTGTTCAGTAACAGCACCAGTTTGTCCATAGTTGAATGCAATGGAGAGCCTTCTCAGGATTGTCAAAGGGTTCTGCATTTCAGGGGACTTGGTGTTGCAGCAGGGGAGGAGGAGTCACTGCCTTCTGGAATAGTGTTTAATTTCATATTTCARCCATAAAGAGGCAGCGGGTTGGGAGGTGGAGGAGACTTCTGTTGCTTTAAGAGCTTGAATGTTTCTGTAATTTTCAGTCCAAACTTCATCCATACCAGAGAAAGAATTTTAATAGCTTGTTTGCACTCCATAGGAGTGTTTTGTTTTGATCCTCAGTAGGAATGCTGAGAGGCTTTCTTCTTGAATTCTATCTTGCTCTATCCCCTCCCCTCCTCACTGCCTGTTCTCAAGACTGGGCACGAGATTTACATGCTAGCCTGAAAGGTCTCACTGGGTTTTGAGGTTGATGCTTGCAGTATTTTGCGCCCTGTATCTTAACTGACTTTGAGTAAGATGCTTAATCTTGCAATCCTAAGGCACAAGGTGGAGACTTCTTCAAGAAATCAAAAATATTTTGTGCAGACAGAGCCCTAATGTTAGTTCAGTTTTACATTTCTATCTTCTCTGAAAACTTGGGAAGCGTTTACTCCCCAGAAGGACCAAGATTTGTCAAGGGGACAAGTGTCACCTCAAGGTGAAGTTAATTTTCCAAAACAGTAGTAAATCACAGTTTCCTACTCTGAAGGCTCTACAGRTGTGTTCTGCTGCRAGGGARTGTTGTATAGCTAGAAGAGCTGTGYTTTTCATCTCYTGGTGCACAAAGTCTTTTGAATAGTTTCTCTGCTTTCTGGGAAGGTGTTAAATKGGTATTTCTGGATGGCATCTTCAGAGAAATCCTCCAGGAGAGGATGATGTGCAGCTACTGTCTCAGGTAGTGGTTGTCTTCCAGTTGAGCAGCTGATACAGTCTTGAAATTCTGCCTTGTGTATCACCCGTTCATAATGATATGCCATAAACCAGAACAGTGAAGCAGTAGAGCAGGAAAAATACGAACTCAGTCCTAGGGYCTCTGTTATACATGTTCTGGCTAGTGAGGGTAGTTCTCTGGGATCTTACTTTCTGCAATAAAAAATATGAAATTTCCAGTTACTCCCTCCRTTCACATATTTATTTATTTAGTTTAATTCTGAGCTTTCAACTTGGCAGACAGAATTTTGGCTTCTTGAGTTTTACTTTGTATTTGGATTAGTTTTGTTTACACAGCAAATGGTGATTTTAGGAAAGTAAAACCACATGGGTTTGTGGTGTGAAGTTTTGTGTATGTTTGCTAAACATCTGCATGACTGTGGAATCTGATTATTTGCAGATGCCTACCATCTCTGTATCTCAGAGCAGTTTAACAGTAACACCACTCTTGTTACTACTAGTTCAGGTTGGGAGGTGGCAGAGCTAGGGTTTGTCTCATGAGGAAAATAGGTGAACATAGCAGAGGATCTGCTTCATTACRGCTGTATTTAAATAGGGGTAACTCCCCCTCGTGGTCATCCACAGAAACAAGTCACTTCKAATTCCAAATTAATTCCTACTTTAACTATCCTGGAATAGGTTGTCAACTGAAGGCATTATTCCAGCAAGGCAGAGAATATGACTGTGTTGTAACTTACCTTCATATCTCTTAATCTGTTCTGATGCAGTTCTGGAATGTGCCCACAGGAGACAAGCCCTTAAGACTTCCTAATGTGGGCAAGATCCACAGGTCTGTAGAAGTACAAAGGGARAAGGCTTGCCAGTGAGTTTTTAGAGCAGACTATAGAAAACACTGGAAAATGTCGCACAGAGAACAATAAAATACCTCAGAGAGCCTGAGAAAATGATTCAGTAGTGGGTTTTCCATTCACTTCTGAGTTCCTGGCCATGTGCCAGAATATGTGTGTGCGTGTCTATGGAGWGCTTAGTGCAGCTGGCTGCAGCAGTGGCAAAAATTGTGTGAAAACTGGGGTCGGGTTAAACAAAACCATTTAGAGAGGGTTAAAAAATACCTTCAAAAGTTTAACACTGAAGGTGCATGTGTTAAAATTTGTAATGTAATGGCTTAACTTGCTTCCACTAAATACAAATTTACAGTTAATTCAGTGTAACAGTACTTAAAAAAAAACCTGGAAACCTGGTGTCTGCAAGGCTAAATTGGTACGTATGTGTATACACATAGGAAAGAGGAAGCTGTCTACCACTGTTGGTTGGGAATTTTGGGAAAATAAGTGCTGTTTTGTGATATCCTGCAAAGTAGCACAGGTGTAAATATAYTTAATCTCTAGAAAAAGCCATCTCTCTACTTCCTTGTACTCCATATGAGCAGTGCTTGGTGTAATTTGTGAACCACTAGTACTTAAAACTTGGAGTTTAAATTTCAGCATCTCTTAGGAAAGCAGTCAACATTCTTGATCTGCTTTGAATTATGTTTTGTCCCTGGTGCTGCCTCAGACCCTGAACTGGAGAATGTGTGCAGAGGTRTGGACATTGACCCGATGGAAAAGTACAAAGGACACTTGAATTCATATTTTGTTTGTAATATTTTTGTTGTCTCTTTACCATAGTATTAAGGAGCAGGGAAGACTTTAAGTGGTAAATGTAGAACATAATGTATTACTGTGTACAAAGTAAGGTAAATTTTCTAGTTTCTCCGAATGAGGTRGTGGTCACAAAAGATTGTGGTGATGAGACAGCTAAATTGATGCTTGTTAAATGGAAGTTGGCAAATGCCAAAGTATTTTTTATAGATGCTTCATATGGACCAAAGGAAACACAAAGCAGTACAACTGACTTCTCTGCTGGGTATGTCTCTACCAAAACACAGAATAGGTGGACATGAGTAATTCTGTTTCAAGCATCACCATGGAACTTGGAGAAAAGCATTGACTAAGGGGTCAAAAACATCGGTAGCTGTGTAATTGTGTAAAATATCACAAAAATTTGGAATGTGTGTTCATTTTTTGTGCTTTCTTGCTCTCAGTCCAAAGAAACATCATCTTTAGTTCTTAGGGTGGT